AATGTTGTATTCACATTCATGAATCCTATCCAATGAGAATGATATGCACTAATCTCATAAATAAAATGTTGAGTGAAAGACACTGAAAGTATGGAGTATGATTTACTTTTATATATTATTTATTTTTATATTATATTAAAATGGATTGAATTAATCTGTCAGATACTGATATGTTGGGAAGTGATTAGTGAACAGATACAGCCACATTATTGGGGAAGGCTTCTAGGATGCTTGGAATGTTTCTTGATTTGAGTGCTGGTTATAAAGATGAGCTTACTTTGTGAGATAGTCTCAAACTATCCACATAAGTCATCTGTATTTGCATTGACTCAGACTTCAGTAAAGCATACTGTTTCTTGATTTGGGCACTAGCTTCATGGGTATGCTCATTTTATGAAAAATAATTGACCTACATATATTTGATTAGTGAATTTTAAGACATATTTACTGAACTTTAAAACGTTTAAAATATAAAATGGAAAAATTAAAAATGGATATATTTCTCTATCTCTAAAATCAGCCATGACTATAGACATACATAAACTGAAATTGAATAGAAAGAGGATATAAGTCCCTTCTCTGTCAGCTGAATACTTCTTAAGCCATTTTCCCTGCAAAGATCTTCAATACCTACCTACATCATTTTTTAATCATTTGTCCTAAAAATATATAATGAATTTCTCAGCCACAAAAAAGAATGACAATGACTTTATAACTTTTGCTGATAAATGGATGTATCTGGAGACTGTCATGCTAAGTGAAATAAGCTAATTCCCCCAAAACCAAAGTTCAAATGTTCTCTCTGATATTCGAAGCTAACACATAATAAGATGGGCAGGGGTGAGATTAGAAGTTCAATGGATTAGACAAAGGGCAATTAAGGAAGGGGAAGAGGGATAAAAATAGGAAAGATGGTAGAATGAATCAGACATAACTTTCCTATGTTCACATATGAAAATACCACTGGTGAAATTCCACATCATATACAACCACAAGAATAGTATCCTATTAGATACTATTATACTCCATGTATGTACAATATGTCAAAATACACTCCACTCTCATGTATATCTAAAAAGAACAAATAAAAAAGGAAAAGTTAAAAATATATAATGATTCTGAAAGCATAAGGGAAGGAGTATGAAAAGGGGAGGGGAAGGGAGAGCTTTAACAAATTTGGGAGAATTAGAGATTTACTTTACTCACTGAAAAAAAAAATTTTTTTTTTTTTGGTACCATGAATCAAACTTAGGGGCACTCGACCACTGAGCCACATCCCCAGCCCTATTTTGTATTTTGTTTAGAGACAGGGTCTCACTGAGTTGTTTAGCGCCTCACTGTTGCTGTGACTGGCTTTTAACTCATGATCCTCCTGTCTCAGCCTCTTGAGCCTCTGGGATTACATGCATGTGCCACCGTGCCCAGCCCCTCTCCAGTCCCCTTGAGAATTATTGCTCAAATATTCATGGTCACTTGCCTTTTTTTTTTTTTTTGCTTCAATTCCAAATTTAAGACACTAGTATACACAAAATGTTTAATGGAGTTGACCAATAGAGAAAAATTAATCGTCAAATAAACAAAACTGAACATTATAACAAGTGTGGTGGCACATGCCTCTAAACCTGACTTCTTGGGAGATTTAGGCAGGCAAAACATGTATTAGTTTAGGGCCAGTTTAGGCAACTTAACAAGACCCAGTTTCAAAATAAAAATTAAAAGGCTGGAATATAGCTCAATGGCTGCCTAGCATGTACCAGGTAGTGGGTTTGATCCCTAGTAACCCCTCCACCCCACCACAGACACACAAAGAAAGGGAAAAAAAAAAAAAAGAAAAACATGAATATCACAGTTGTCATTTTCTGATTATTTCCTGATATATATTGAGAAAAAAATTGTGGAGAACTTATCAGACTCTCTGAAAATCTGTATATAGGCCACTGAATAATTATAAACTATAGGCCTAGAACCCAGAGGAATTAAGTTTAAATTTAGCTTCTTTTAATTCCTAACTGGGTTTTTAAAAATTGTGTCTCTCTTAATTTTCAAATCTATAAATGAAAATAATGATTCCTTTTAATAGGATCAACTGCTTTGAATCACTTAGCATTTTATAAATTACTGCATGTACTATGCATGTTTACTGTGAAAACAAATGCAAAGAGCTTTTTTAAAATAAAGTGTATGATCCTAACTAAGCAGAGAAAAATTATTTTGTTTATTCCTATAATTTATGATTAGAAATGAAAATATTCATTATCATAACTTAGATTTATGACATTTTTGCTCTAATTATGGCATGATTAGAAAGATCCTCATAATATAGACAAATTACGATAGCATGAACTTAAGTGTTTATCTTGGGTTTTTTGAATTTAAAGTTTTAAATAATTGTTACAAGTATACTTATTAAGACATGTTTTTCAACATTTCTAATACTTTAATATTAGTATTTCAACAAAGCTTGAGTGCTGATTTTATTAATTTTGTTATAGTTAAAATATTCATTCCCTTTACTAAAATCATAAGTGATTTTAGTGGAAAAAAATTATCTTCTTAGAGTCTCATTACAGCTTCTGATCCCTATTTTATCAAACTTTACATTTAAGTGTCTAGTATGTTTTCCTTCATTAAGTGTCCTAATATATTTTATTGCAGAACTGGATTCTCACCTGACTCAAGTATATATCCACTTATATAAATAAAATGAAAATAAATCATGGAGAAACACTTAACATGATAAAAAAAACAATTTCAAAATTTGTCCACATATTTAATAACACAGTTAAACAGGGACCAGAAATCATCATATTACTGCTTTTCAAAACAAAAATAAATTCTCCCACTTACTGGTTCCTTAATCACTGTTTCATTAACCATTTTTATTTTTCAATTTTCCCTTTGCAAGAAATTTAATAAAAATCAAATAGTTGATCATCACAAAGATTTCTGTTTCATTAACATCTTTGAAGAAGAAAATTTTCACTTCTTTTTTGTCTGTGTAACCACAAAATAAATTGGATAATGAAGAGTAAACACAAGCAGAAGAGAAAATCTACTAAAGGACAAAGAAAAAGGAAAAACCCTAATCAAGAGTTTACAACAGAAGAAAGATTCAAGGTCATATTGCATTTTTTAAATTAAATTTATTTTAACTGGTACAGAGAAACACAAAAAATGTTCATATTAATGAAGTGTGATTCATGTTTCAGCTCATATTGTACAATGTTTAAATCGGGTTAAACACATTATCTTCTGAAACATTTGTCATTTCTTTATGGTACAAAATTTCAAAATATTTTCTTCTAGATTTTTGAAATGTACAGTGCAGTATAATTATGTATAGTCACTCTACTGTGCAACAACACACCAGAAATTCTTGCTTTGATTACCCCCTGGGAGACTAGAAAGAAGGAAAAGAATTGTGCCTACTTGTTAGAAAGGGAAGGTTTCTGGGAGCTGTCCAATGTACTGAGTGAACTTCATAGCCACAATTTACCCCCTTAATAGGGGCTGCTGTCCTCATTGGTTCTCTCTGAAACTAGGGTGCTTCTGTAATCAGGATTCAAGCTATTTCTTCTAATTCACCTTTGATATTATTTTCCAAAGTGTTGCTCTGCTCCGTTTGGCTTTTTAAATATGTTTACAATGAATAATTAACTATAGCTATTGGCAAACAAAGAAGGGGGGAAAGCCTTTCTTTGTTAAAATTAGGGATTTTATGAAACTAGTAAAATTTTATTTTAATCATGCTAGATTTAAATTTTTTTCTCAAAAAAAAATCTAAAGGCAGCCAATAAATTCACTAAGGTATAGTTTCCAGTCTTAAAACCTACTGTAGACTGAACCAAACAAATGGATGAAAATAAGTCCAATAAAAGTGTCAGGATTTTTCTTTGTTCACAAGTAAATACTTGATCAGCAATTTAAAAGTCCAAAGACTCCTCAGCAGAGGGSTGAGCTGATCTACCCTTTGGCTTAACCAAGGATAAATCTTACTTTTGAAAGGAGATTGAAGTAGTTTTGTTGGGGGCGGGGGGTGGCGGAGGGTTTGCTTTGTCCCCAATGCTGACAATTATACAGCCCGACTAGAGAAAAATTTGTGAACTACCATTTTTCATTTTGTTGTCATGATAACTTTTTCCCTGTAATAAAATCTCCACGTGAGTGGAAGATGAGGGTAAGGAAAGGAAAGTCAAGTATCTCAATTGTTAGGCTGATTGCTACAAACAGACATTAGAAGTCAGGGTTTGTAACCACGCAGCAGAGTTGTTTGAGATGCCCTAGAAGGAAAAAAAAAAAAAAAAAAGAAAGCCGGTTCCAACAGCGACTCTGGGGAATGTGCTCTAGGCCCCCCTGCCATGCTTACTTAAGCTAATGGAAGGTCTTGCCTTTCAGCAGCCGCTGCACTGGGATACCAGACAAACAGCTCCCCTCGACCCCTGGCAGGAAGGGCCCCTCTTCAGGACATCATTAAAAGCACATGCACTTGCTTCACATCCATTGGCAGATGGTGGCAAGATTCAGGACTTCTACCCTGACGCCAAGGAGAAACCATCGCGCTGGAAAATACCTTGGCTTTGAAAATCCAAATCGAAATTAAAGAACTACATGAGATAAGGAGCCTGGAGAACATTAGTTGGCTGCGGGGGTGAAGAGAGACACAAAAAGCACACAGCAGGTAAGAACTGGGGGTTGTTGCCAAGAAGGAACTGTCCGCGTGGCGCAGCGAAAAGATCTCAGAAGTGGAGGCCTTTCCTTCTGCGCCCCCCAGGCGTACTCAGGCTTGTCTTCCTTCATCAGCTTCCAGAGGAGGGACGTTGTCAGAGTCTTCCCAATCGGGGCGACTAATCCTGTTATCAGCTTGGTAATAAATATTAATGTCCCCCAGCCAGCCGGTGATGGTGTTCCATCAGACCCAAGGCTGTTAAGAAGCCCCATCAGCAGCTTCGCCCCTCCCTGCGAAAAATTCATTCGATGAGACGCAGGGCCAAGTTGAAGCGATGGCGGCCTATCCCGAGAGCTGCGTGGACGCCACTGTRCTGGACTTCGTCGCAGACCTGTCCCTGGCCTCCCCGAGACACCCTCTCCTTTGCGACTTTTCGCCCGGCGTCCCCTTTGGGGACCCGGCACTTGAGCTCCGAGAGGGAAGGCCCAGGAGGCTGGCGCAGTTTGAGGAGGGGACCCCGGAAGAAGAGGATTGCGAAGTAGATGAAGGGGATGGGGACGAAGAGGAGGAGGAAGAGGAGGGACGCGGGAGAGGACCCTCGGTACTAGGCCGACCCAAGAGGAAAAGGGTGATCACCTATGCCCAGCGCCAGGCCGCCAACATCCGCGAGAGAAAGCGGATGTTCAACCTCAACGAAGCCTTTGACCAGCTGCGGAGGAAGGTGCCCACTTTTGCCTACGAGAAGAGGCTGTCTCGGATCGAGACCCTACGCCTGGCCATCGTCTACATCTCCTTCATGACTGAGCTCTTGGAGAGCTGCGAGAAGAAGGAAACCGGCTGAGCCGGGTGGGATGGGGGTCATCAGCCCCCTCCTCGCCTGAGCGCGCGTGGGTCTGGGGTGTCTCAGGACCCAGCAGTGAGTGTCGCTGAAAGGCAAGTAGGGACGCCCCAAGACAGAACGGCTGACCTTCCGAAGATCGGGTTCAGTATTGTAAAATCCCCACAGCCCTCGGGAAGTGTGGCAGCTGTAGAGTTAATATATATGCGGTCGCCCTCAAAGGAATGGAGATTAGGGGCCAGAGGTCTGTTAACTAGGAATCTGGACTGTGTGAGGCTCAMGCCCAGCATCTTCTGAGGACTGAGTGGGTGGAAAGTTCATCTTCTCAAACGACAGAGTTCAGAGCTTCTATGGAGTACAATCTTTCCTCCTTCTTTTTTTTAAATAGAATTTTTTTAAAAAAAATCTTACTTTTTAATTTTTTTTATTTTTATTTTTTTTTAAGACTCAAGAGTCGGGGCTGAACCATCCCCTACAGGAGGTCCTGTCTGGCTTGTACTGGTGGGCAGAGAACCACTAGGGGTGCGATGGTGCTGAGTTTTCTGATTAGTCAAGGGGCTCTCGACCTCCCATGGGGTGGACAACGTGCAACAAGTGCACCAACTTCTGAGAAAGAATCATTCTCTCTCCTCTCTCCTCTCTCTTCATTCGCCCTTCTCCCTCCTGTCTCCACCTGATTTGGGTGATCYGAGATGAGCTGCCATTCTGATATTCCCAGAGAGACCTTAGCTCSTAGCAAGGCAGCACGTAGCCAGATCACAGTGGCATTTACGCTGCGCCTTAGCTCGCGTGCAAATCGCCGCGTTGGCAGAAACAATAACCTTCTTYGTGACACTTCCGGCCCTGCTTGGGAGAGGTGGGCTGGCGGTACTTCTGGTCTTAAAGCTAGGGACTCTGCCAGACCTGTAGGAGGCCCTGAGCGCGCCCACGCCCTAACCGCCCTTGCACTTCCAACTTTCGCTGCACTCAAAGGGCCTGGGACTTTCTAGGAGCTACGATGCCCCAACGCGTTTAAAAATCTTCAGCTGTCGGGAAAGGGGATTGCTTTCATTTTAAGGGTATCCAGGAAGGCGAATAGTTAAAGGAGGAGATACATTTTGACACTGCAGAATGCTTGCAATGGAAAAGAGGTTGAAGCAGGTTCACTGCTGAGAGGCGCCTCCAGTTGAACCCTTTGTCACTCCACAATTCCTTCTTTGTGATTTGCTAGCACCTGAACTGGGGGTTTTAAGAAAGGAGAGGTTAAGTGAAGAGAGGAACTGGAGCAATGATGCCGGGTTAACTGTAAATTCACTGCTCCTAAAGAATAAACCCCCAATGGTTATTCTAGCACTTCTTTTTGCCTTTCATTGTGCATAGGCATATTCAGGTGTGGAAGCACACATAGACAATTCTCTATCACACTTTTAAGATGCTTCATATAATAGAATTCGTGTTATGAAGATGCAACATATACGTGTTCTGGAAAGTTTGTGAAACAAAAGTTCAAAAAAGAAAATTTGAATCACCCCACACTAAAACACTGTTAGTATTTTCATCTGTTTTCTTCTAGTCAGTGTCTCTCTCCCTCCCTCCTCCCGCCTTCCCCCTCCCCTTTGCCCCCCCTTCCAATGTACTTATAGATTCAATGCACTTAACAAATTTTGGATACTTTAGGATACTGACTTTATTTTCACCTGGCATTATAGAATGAGCACTTTTCCCTTGACTTTATTATTCAAAAATGATTTTGATTACTGTATTTTATTGTCATGTGGATGTATCACAACTTAATCCAAATCCTTCACAGTTGGTTACAGTTGGGTAGCGAAGACATTTCCTTTCAAAAAGTACATTATGCCACAAAAAGCGTTCCTATAAATGCTTCTTCTTTATAATTTTCTAATATTAGATTCCTAGAGCTGAAATCTCTGGATAAAATGAACATATAGGTTTGTGAACACAAATGGCCAGATTTGCTTTTGCCAGTTCACACTCCATCCCAGTAGCACAACAAGGATTTGTCTTGTCCCCCAGCCACTTTGTCAGTACTTAAAGCCCTTGAAACTTTTCCCAGTTCTCCTTAACATAGGAACTGGATTAGTTCTGAAATGAGCCCCTTCACCTCCCCCCTTTTTTTTTCAACTCTCTCTTTCCACTAGGATTCTTTCCACCTCTGCTATAAACATATCGGAACAAACAGGTAAGAGAAAAAAATATAAACACTAAATTAACCAAACAATAACAAAACCAGGAAATTAATTATTTTCTAATTCTCTATCTCTAGCACTTTCATTAAGATAAACTGAGATTTGGAAAATGACCTATTTATCTGTTTTATGAAGTAAAATTATTTGTTCTCCTCTTCTTTCTCTAGACAACGTTTTAGTAACCTAGATGATTATATTCGTATCTTTTAAGATACATTTAAAATTACTCATATTGATATATGAAACAAAAATAGTTATTTCCCAATCTGAGCAGTATTCTGTGCCCCAACTCCTCATAATCTCTAGTGGCTCCATCAAAACCCCACATTAATTTACCCARTTGTCTATCCGTTCAATCAAGTGTTGACTTTTTATAGATAGTGTGGATGGTTTCAAAATTGAAAAAGCCTTCCTTCAAGTTCTTCTGGAAATTAAGCATCATTTTTGAATATCTGCAAATGTTGAATAAGTAAAAAGATATGGGGATTCAATTCTTGGAGTCCTTAACATTTTGTTGGAAGAACCAGTTTTGAAAATCAGAAACAACACAGAACTAGGTAGACAAGGGACCAAGCATCACTGGGTCCTGAAAAGTAAATACAGCCATTCATTTTCCTTATTCCTCTTCCTCATATTTCATCTTACTGTTATGATCTGAGTAAGCACATAATATTCCTATAGTGAATGCCTCTTCAGCATAGTAAATAATATCTAATGAATTTCTAAATGGAAAGCTATTACTCTATTATCTTTGTTGTCACTAAAAAAATTACATTCACTGTTCTTATAACTGTTAGATTTTACAAATTCTTTGCTTTTTGTAAGTTTTTACATGTCCCAGAATGTGATGTCTTTTAAGTCATTATCATAATCATTCTACCACTAAAATGATTTGAAGCCTAGTAAGGATCAGAAACACAGAGAAATTAATTGATTTTTATTATTTAYACCAAATCATCAATAGAAATAGAATGAAATGATCCACATCCCAACATTAAATCTGATGCACCACCATATTTTCACACAACTTTTCTAACTAGTGTTTTGTTTTAGTTCTCCCCATGTTAGGTCCATGTAATCAGTGTACTTTGTAATAAAGACCTTTTTTTATAATACAGCACATGCTAAGTTAAAATTGGTTGTTGGTTTACTCTTTTAGACAATATTGATGGAAACATCAGTATACATTGACTTTTTAATAGTTTCTACCATTTTTTAATCCTAATGGTGTCAGTTACTTTAAAAGATTATGATAATTGGTTCTTGAAATCTCAAAGTTACTTGAACATTTAGAATCTACATTTTTAGATGTTGCTTGGAGACAATTTATTCTCTCTCTCTCTCTCTCTCTCTCTCTCTCTCTCTCTCTCTCACACACACACACACACACACTCTCATTTTCTCTCTCTCTTTCACTAAAAACTGCCTTTTGGTTTCAAACTAAGTTCCACATAACTCTCAGGTTACTATTAGTATTCAGACATGCAAACCATGAAAAGATATAAATGAAATCATATTTGAAAGGTATAATTARACTTTTCAAAGAAAGCAAAATATATCAGAAGCTTTTTCATTAACAGGGAGCCACTCAGACTGATTATCTTCTACAGTTAGTTGCCCAATTTGAAAGCAGATCTGGGAAAAATTAGTGTTGGAGGTTCAGCCAAATATTCTGCTAGTATGCATGATTCCTGAATGAACATACAATTAAGGCCCGTAGGTTGGTGTTCATTATCACACTTGTCAGCATTCCCATTATAAAATACTCTTGTGGAATKATGACATGGTTATCAAAATTGTGAGATGAATCTTGGTGAGCAAAATTTTAGAATATATTTTCTTCTTGATTACAAATCTTTAAAAGAAACTTCAAACAGAACGAAGCCACAAATACATTTTACAGTTCCAAAATGTACCTGTAACTTTAAAAACAAGAGGATTCATTTAATACAAATTAGATCATTATTTTGTTTTCATTAAAAAGAACTAGTAGATAAATATTGAATATTAAATACTAAGCTGACCTTCTTACGGATTGGTATTATTCATTAAATTGCATTTAAAATGTTTTTCGATAAGTGGTGAAGTTTTGCTATATATCTTATAGCTTGGCTTAAATYCACTCAAAGATTTCTGAACTTTGCCAACATTTTGGGTGAAGTTAGGCCCAAGTTCTGGTCAGCACCATCTCTTCCTGTGAATACTGGCCTAAAAAAAGGTTACAAAACAAGAGTCAGCAGTTCTGACCATTTTGTTTTGACTTTGGGGTTTCTTTGAATCCAAAGCTCAAAACCAAACCTGGCGGAGAAGGAGAAGGAAAGGAAAGAAGCAATGCAAACTGACAGGAATAAAATACCAGAAAGATGGAAAAACTTCTGCAAGTCTCTATAAACCAAAGTCTATAACTTTATGACACCAAATTTTTCATTCTGTGACTAGAACACATTCCGTAAAGGAGTAAAAGAAAATGCAAAGAAAAGCATAGATATATTTTAAAACATTATTTATGGCTGATACTTGGTAGAATATCATCCTTTATTTGGCAAAAAGCAATTAACTTTATTTGGTAAAATCAAGAATTTGAAAAATAAGACTGATAGAAATCATCTTAATAAAATGCTTTATATTTCTTAGTGCTTATTTTCAAAATGCCCTCCACTTAGCTTCTCTAATTTGATCTTCTTCATTGAATTTCCACAAGATCTAGAAACTCTCAATTAAATTGAATCATTCGTGTGCCATCTTACACATTCCTTCTCTCATCATTGAAAACAGCATGATGCTGAGCTTCCTAAAAGAGGACTGATGGTCACA